ACCATTTGTTTCTCTGTCCAGAGGGCAGCGGAGAACCATGTCCTGTCGTGACATCCTACATTCTCCACAACTCTCTGGCTTATGGAGCCGATTGGTCCCGCATCTCTCTAGATGAACCTGTTCCCTGCTCACCTCCTGCTACAGAGCCACAGGAGGTGACAATAGAGGGCAGAGGTCACTTACGGATTCAGTACGAGTCTCCCACTGCTAGTTTTGACACCTCACTAGAGGACGATACTGGTAGATATATACCCGAGAGCATCGCTGCTCCACCTGCTTCTGTTCATGCACCTGTAAGTGGCTCCTTTAACCCACAATCTGGCACCCCCTCCATGTCCAGCTTGCTAGCAACGTGCTCCTTCTACGACCACATGCTGCACGTGTGGCGCTGGGACTGGACTTCAGACAAGACTGAGCAGGAGATGAGATGAGTAAATATGGAGCAATGACTCAAACCAAAGCATATGTTTACCTATGTAAAGGGAATGATAAACGCTAGTCATTAGGCTCTTATCACAGATTGTCCAAAAAGCAACAGTATTTACCTGCATATCTTAAAAACTTCTATTTAAACAGTGTATAAACATCCTGCAGTTCAACCAGTCAATGCAAATTGGTAACAGCCATACTAGTGCTCATACCAACTGTAATAGCTTTTTTTTAAAGTGAGTTTCATTTAGAAACTGTTTAGAAAATGTAAATGGTAAGTTTTTACAGTATTGCATTGTTATACAAAACCTAAAACGTATGAAAAACAGATTGTGCAATTTTTCAATTACGAAATAAATATGTTGAACACACATTGAGGTCTAATCTGTTTTTTTTAATAATGAACACAAATCTTGGGAAAAACAAAACCTGAAAATGTTTTGGTTTTTTTTTTTTGTGATCCATTGTTGGTTTGGAACAACATGAATCTAACAGGGTCTCTCCTCTCTATGCAAATAAATATGCACAGCTTTTTACCAGTAGATAAAATCTAAGTTTCTTTAAAAACCTTTTAACAAAGTTGGCTGAGGAAATGTTTCATTTCACACCACAACACAACAGTTAGTTACCTACATACCAGTATTTATTGTGAAAGTACACATATTGAAATAATTAGAACTGTAATTAAAGTCTGATCATTTTACATTGCAATAGGTTTTGACCACAGGGTCTGGCAAAGGTACATATTTTTAGGAACCTGCATTTTTTTTTAATCTTGTTAAAAAGTCCGTATACCTTTAACGAATATAGTTTTTAGGATAGAGCTTGAAGAGTTTTCCTTCCTGAGTGGGTTCAAATCCATATTTTTCCAGGTTTTCTTTACTAAAGGTGCCGTTCTTAAAGTCTTCCCTAATGCGAGGAGCAACCACCTCGTTGAACAGACTCTGTGCAGTCAGTGGAGGCTCTGTTCCTTTGGGGATGCGGTACGAGACATAGGGTTTGAGTTGGAAACCCTCCAGGGGGGGCACCACAAACTCTGGTATCATGGCTTTAATGGCAACAAACTTATTGCTGGAGAGTTTAATCCCAGTGGGCCTCGCTCCACGTCCTTTGTTGTGAGTCCTAGAACCACGTTTGCTGGTGAACTCGGACATCCTGTCTGCTCCTCGAACCAGACCCCTCACCAGAGTGGATAACATCCCCATGGTGCTGCAGTGTTGACTTCTCTGTCCAAGCCAAGATAAAACTTTTGGTTAAATAGGTTTAATAAGGATTAAGCAAATGAAGAAAACAAATAAATAGACCAAAGGAAATGTTTGTTGCAGACGAAATTGGAAAGTGTGAGGTTATACAGCATATTATATTGCAATACAAAAATAAACATTTACATTACTTATCAGGTTGAGGTCTATTAAATCAAGTTGCCTCATAATCAAGACTCTATGAAGTGCAAATATGAGTCGTATCTAAAACGTGTGCGATAGACCAAAACATTATTTAATAACTTTTGGTTGCAGAAATTGAACTCAAGTTACCATATATTTTTCAACCTTTATCTTTAAACATTTCAGCTGAGCAATTTTCTTGCACCAAATTTAAAGTGCTACATTTTTTACAAACCACACAATCAGACACTTCTATTATCAGGAAACACTAGGAAAACATAGGTGTAAGACATCGAGAATAACATATTCAAGTAGAACAACCAGCAGAATCTCATCCGCGTTGAACAAAAATCCCAAATCAAATCAAATACATTATACATCGTCGCTAGCTAGGTGTTTAGGATATAATATTATTGACCGATTGTATGCTGAGACATTCAATCTCATGTTATTTAAATATTAAAAAGAACCATTAACGATACAATTTTGAAACAAACTCACAGTCTTCAATTGTAAAATAAATCTAAAATGAAATCACCTTGAGGTCTGTCGCTAGCTCTCCAATGTGCTTTAGTTGCCCAACAAAAGGAGAAGCAATTGGCCGACAAACAGCACCTTTTAACCAATGAAACCTCAGGATACTAGTCCACTTTGAGTGCGTGGATTTGGTCGGAAGTGTAGAAGCATAGAAGGTTGAACCTTCAGTATAAATCCTAAACGGAGACCTAAAGCTTAAATACGCCGCTATTTGGTCTTTTACTTTGAAGGTGTAACCAGAAACGGTTGACCTTGCACATAACACTTTTGTAAGGCATGTACGTGTTTACAGAAACAGCTTTGATAGATAGGAGAAAGGTAGGTGAGAAAATGTTGCTTTTATTGCAGTTTTTCTATAAATCAAACAAGATATTTGTTTTTGTTTGAATTTAGTAATGTCTGTGTAAATTCAAACTCCAATTGTTTTGTTTTATTCTTTGTGTAACTTCTGTTGTGTAGCGGATTCTAGCCTTAGAGAGGCGGAGTCAAAAACGTACCAAAATAAAAGGTAGCCCAAGCCAACCAGACTATGGAAACGATAGAAATGGAATGTTAGCGTTTAAATCCAATCAAGATTGGCCCTTTGTGCTCATGTATGAATAATAAATAATCCTGACTGCTAATGTTGCATTCAAGTAAATTCCAAACCGTGGATTTGTTCGCCGTTTTAGATATTAAAAATATTTAATCTTAGAGGGTATATGTAGATTAAATTATGCGATTTTATTTATTTTAAAAATTCCTGAGATTTAGCCATTTCAAATATAGATATCTTACTGTCCTTTTTTGTGCAATTTGGTTAACTTCTGAGTTTGTGTGTGTGTGTGTTGATAATTTTAAATGATCTTGGCAGTGTTTCGCGAACATTTAAACTTTTTGGCCTACTTTTAGTAGTGTGTTGTGGCAGTTGTATAACTTTCTTTTTTGGGGGGCAAACTAAGCAAACATCTTGGCTATCTGGTTTTCATTGTTTTTACTTTATTTTTACTTTATTTTATTGTAATTTCAATTTGTGGGCAAACATTTGTGTCTCACTATTATACTCAATTATAGCTTTTTTGGCTAACTTCTTACTGTTTATATTATGTCTCACCTTATTCTACTTATTCTACTATTTATGACTTTATATCTAGTTATTATTTTCTATTGATTTTATTTTCTTGTCTAACTTTTAGCTCAACACAGAAATTGTCTTCTAGGCTCTAATTCATATTGTTTAAAGAAATCCCTATAGAGCTTGTAAATTGTGTACTAAATTATTGCAAATATTTAAAATATTTTTTGGTTAACTTCTGATTTAAAACTTAACTTACAATTCTGAAACAGTATTGTTTTAGAGGTAAAGCAGGGCAAAGTGCGTGAGGAAGAATAGTAGGAAGGGAGGAAGAAGGGGGTGGAGTGTCTGATTACAAACACTCAGTATGTGACCACTTTATCAGCTGCTGTGTCCTTTAGCCCACAGATTGGCAAAAAACAATAGGTTAAGGTAGTTAGTAAACACATTTGTTGTATAAAAATCCACAATTCAGTTCTTCCTATAGTCTTTGTAAATGCTCCAGATAAACAAAGTGTAATTTGACTGATTCATAATGTCATTCCAGATAATCTATCCATTTCTTCTCATTTTGTCAGATTCTATAAAAGTATTCTGTGTGGACCTGGTATTGTATTTATAAAACTACTATGGCGAAAAAAAGTGAAGATGAGAGCTGCAGTATTTACTCGGTACGTATGTCCTTCAACACAATTCACTAGAGCGCTAAAAGTTTTCAATTGTTTTTATTAAGTCTGCACACCCATCCAGCCCGCCATACTTTCGGGGCAGTGGTGGCTTAGTGGTTAAGGAAGCGGACTTGAGTCTGGAAGGCTTCAGGTTCAAGTCCATTAGCTGCCAGGTTACCACAGGTTCTCTGAGCATGGCACACACTGCTTCTTGTGCGCTTAAAGCTGCCCACTGTTCACTTTGGTGATGGGTTAAAAGCAGATGTCACATTTGGTTGTGTGCAGTGGTGTGCTGTGTAAAAATGACAAGGACTTCACTTTTTTTTAGTTCTTAAAATGTAATTATTTTCTTTGAGACAGAACCCACCAACCTCCAAATAGATACTTATATACACCTGCTTAAATGGTTAGATCACAAAAAATGTGTGCAGTTCTTGTTATGCGCTGATAATAAGAACCAGGTTTTACTGATGTTGGTCATCACCAGTTCACATCTTTTCTTCAGTCTTTTTGTCTCTTTCTGTCTGTACGTGACCTTTCAGAATCTGGGTCCAATCGGCAGTGAGATCAGAGCCAGGATGCAGCAACTTGTACAAGAAAGGACTGAAGTTAATATGGTAAATTTAGCATAAAACAATAAGACTTGTTACTCTTGTATTTCAGTAATCACATGTTTTATTCAGTTTCTTTCTGTTTTAGCCCAAAACACAAGTAGCACAACTGGTGAGTAACTTGTTGTTGTTACTGTTTGTCTTCCAGTGGACAGCTGTGCTGATTGGATCATTGATGATGATGTCATTCCTAGGAGTCGTGGTGTTTCTTCTCTACAGACACTATAAATTGTCAAGTCAGTGTTCTGCACAAAAACTCTTCAAGATCAAAGAAAAAACTTGAACAAAGACACAAAACCGACGTGTACAAAGATTATGGCACATTTTAAGATAACTTTTTATGTACTGGACAATAGAAAAGTGTAGGAAAATTTTATTTAGCCTTAAAAATCATTAGCAAAAACAAATCAAAGTTAGCAAAAAATTTCATTAATCGGAAAAGTTTAGTCATTTTGAATTAAAAGAGAATTAATAAGGGAATTACCTGTACATACATACGTTTATACAATCCGATACCTTATTTTCTCCTCCAGCATGCTACAGTCTGTTGTTGCCGAGACAATAGCATTTGGGTTTAGGTATCTGATTGGATGGGCTACAGTTGTTTGCAAGTGTCGAACCAATACCGATCCAGAATATTAAATGTAACCATCCCCAGTTTATAGATTCAAACTAAATAAAGGTAGAACTGACTGAAGTTTGAATTTAAGAAGAGTTTTAACTAGATATATTATACATTACATTGATGTCATCATGGATGGTCATAGATGTGCATAGTAAATAGAAAATTATATATGCTGTCTTTAAATAACTTGTTTGTTGTATTTCAGAAAAAGAGGTGGGAGTTCCTCATTATCGTTTCAGGAAGCGAGACAAGGTGCTGTTTTATGGCCGAAAAATCATGAGAAAGGTCAGTTTTTCTTACACATCCCAACCATCTGGTCTGGTCTGTAAAGACACATTTTAAAGACCTGTTTTAAACAAATGCGATGTAAACCATCACTCATACTGTTTCCAATCAATCCTTTCAATAGCAGAATGAACATGATAAGTTCAGATGTGTGTCTGTTACAGGTTCAGACATTATCATCGCCCCCTCCTACAAATTCCAACACGGCCTCTCGTCAGAGAACAAAGAAAAGGACCAAAGTTTTGTCTATTGCTCGCAAGTAAGTCAGAGAAAAGAACTGGGAGATGAAAATTAGAGTTTTGTACATAGACACAGAAGTCACCAACACCGTTGTGTTTTGTGTCAGGATTCTCCGTATTCGTAGGGAGCCTCCCACCCTGCAACACAAAGAGCCCCCTCCCTGTCTGCTGGAAGCTGATCTGACAGAGTTTGATGTGCAGAACTCACATCTGCCTTCTGAGGTGCTCTACATGTTGAAAAATGTCAGGTATGTCATAAAGGTGTACAACAGAACTTCTAGAATCAAAACTTACACCATGAATTCCCACTGAATAATTTGGAGGTGGTTTTGAACCCTGATAAAATAAATTGATGAAATGTTTTTCTTGTGTCACATACAAGGGTTCTGGGACACTTTGAGAAGCCTCTCTTCTTGGAGCTGTGTCGTCATATGGTGCTAATACAGCTGCACCAGGGGGAGCCACTGTTCCGCCCCGGGGACACAGATGACAGCATTTATGTAGTCCAAGATGGCCGCCTGGAGCTCTGCATCCATGAAAGTGTGAGAGCACAAGTTCAAAACCTCCGTTTGATTATAAAACAATTTCACTTTCAGATGTTTTCTGCACAGTGGTTGTCTTTTCTTAATTGTTTTGTCTTCCTGTAGGATGGAACAGAGGCAGTGGTGAAGGAAGTTTTAACAGGGGACAGTGTTCACAGTCTACTCAGTATCCTGGACATCATCACCGTACGATTGAGCATTCATTTCATCTTTATAATCATATAGTATCATTCTACATGTTTATAATTAAAAGGTTTAAAAATGCAAACCTACAACAAAAAAGCTTAATGTTAAGAAAAGCTCAAAGCTAAAATAGCATTAGTTATCTAAAACCACAATAAAACATGAGCAAAGAAATCACATTTAGGTTCTCCACAGATATACCTCTTTCAGTTCCATGTATAGTAAAAAGTACTGCTTCTGGATTAGGACAGCAAACAGAGAAACAAAAAAAATAGTCATTGTTGCAAAATGAGTAAATGTTGCATTGCTTATTCAATATACATTTCCATTTTCCAGATATTCTACAGACCATGTTTTGGTTCTGAATAATTGAATTGCTCATTCCACACAGAACATCATGTAGTATAACTAATGTCATGAGTTTTCATACTATCTCCTGTCCTAATGTCTCCACACACTGCACGGTGTAAATGTAGGGTTATCCAGCTCCGTACAAGACAGTGTCTGCTCGAGCTGCAGCTCCCTCCACGGTCCTGCGTCTTCCAGCTGCAGCCTTTCAGTCAGTCTTTGAGAAATATCCTGAGACTCTGGTTCGAGTCATTCAGGTACAGTATACATATATACACACACATAAAAAAACATTTAAAGAAACAAAACAAGTTAATAATCTGTAAATGTTCTGTAATCATGGACAGATAATCATGGTGCGCCTCCAAAGAGTGACCTTTCTTGCCCTACACAACTACCTAGGCCTGACCACAGAACTCTTCAACCCTGTAACCTTGCTTTTTTTGTACTTCCTCAAATTTTGAATACATTTAAATTGTATGTTCAACCCTCAGATCTCAGAAGGATTCCACTTACTATACAGACTCTACCTCTATGTTCTTTCCCACAGGAGAGCCAGGCCATCTCTCTGGTGTCAGTGGCACACGTTCTTGGTGAGACTTCTTCACATCGCAGTCTTCGCAGACAGCCTTCGCACTCTGAGGATCAGGGACCTGAAAGTGCAGGTCTGAAGCTACAGCATTTTTTTTACTCTGACTATAAAGCTCTACCTGACTATTTTTTCTCTACACTAACACATGATTAAAAAAAATAAGTAAAAATAATATGTACAGATGTTAAGAAAAAGCAGTCTTTGTTGATACATTGTCATTGTTATCCTCATAATCATCATAATTATTTTCCCACATGCTTGTGATGTACAAATGAACATTTCCTTCACCATTATTCCGTTTACGTTAAGCCACTGCTAAATTAGATTATTTTTATATTTTTTCTCACCAATAGAAGAGTTATTATATCTTTGTATAAATCTGTGAACATCCAAAATAGAAGACATTTGTTTGGTATTTTATAACCAAATTATCTGAAAAATTGACTTTGTTTTTGTTTTTGTTTTTTTTGTCTGGGACCATCAGAGGGTTTTATGTTAACGTTTCCTCGTGTTTTTTTTATTATGCCTACTGTTGCAGAAAAGTCCAGCTTCCCTGACACGTCTTCATTGAAATACAGAAAATCTCGTTCCCTCTCCACCCCACTGGTTCTTACAGGTACTGTCCATGTCCATGTGTGTTTTTCTTGGATATTAACTTCAGTCTATGTATTAAACCAGAGTTTCTCTTACCTAAACAGGCAAATGTTTGATTTGAATTAGAAGATTATATTGATTTCACACTCTAAAGCACGGGTGCCCAATAAGAAGATTGCGATCTACAAGAGGATCTCAAAGGGAGTGCTGGTAGATCAAGAGCAATTACATTAAAAAAAATAAGCAGTAAAATTATAAATGTAATTCTACTTTAAGATGCTAATCAACAGGGCCTTACTTTAGCCCTGCTGATTAACATATAATGTATATAATAAGATATTCCGTTTATATGAGTAAATATCTATTCAGAGTTTTCAGTGTAGGTAGATCACTTTAACCTAGTCATTTGAAAAGTAGATCACAAGACAAAAAAGTGTGGACACCCCTGCTCTAAAGTGACTGTAGATGTAGTGTCAATAGTTGTCTTTAAATGTGGCCATGCAATTAACTGGCAAACTGTCCAGCCCACTCCCCTGCAACCCTGCAAAGGAATAAGCTGTATCTAAGAGGTAGATAATGGATGCACGTTTGTTGCCAAAAGTGTATTTTCCTACAGTGGATAACACCCTATACAAAACCTATATGAAATAAAACCCTCAATTAAATTATGTGATGTCATACAGATTAGCATAGTGCTAAGTAACGTGGCATTTGAAACTAAATCCTGTCATTTTTATTGTGGTTCATCAGGTGAAGTGTCAGCTGCCCTTAACAAAATGTATGAATGTAATGCAGCTGCCAAAGAAGAGTCGGCCCCTCACAGCCCGGTGAAGGTCAGAGATGCAGGATCTTATAAATCTACTCCACATCAGTTTATGACACTTTTACAGTATATATCATTGAGATGGAGGAGGGGCAATAAAGATTTGCCTTGAAAATGCTGACAAGTGTTGTTGTTATGTGTGTCTCTTTGTCATGCAGTCTATCCTAAAGAAGACTGTCACCATGCAGCAGAATCCACCTTCTGTTTATCAGTACAGTGATGCTGGAGGAGGAAACGTCCAATATAACAAAGTCAGTGCCATTTTCCACGCTGCTAAAAAGGATCTGCTGCAGGTCATTCAGATACAGGTACAGTAACAGGTTGTAGACTGAAGAGACATGGAAACAATGTCATTATTTTATGACTTTTTATGATGTTTTTTTCTGTCTTGAACTTTTTTTTTTTTTTTACATCGCCAGGATCATAGTCTGCTGGAGGGGAGGGTGAACCTTCGTCAGGTCAAAGCTGGTACTGTGGTGGCTCACCAGGGCGACCAGGTCAGGGACTGTGTGTGACCTTATTGCCTGGCATATCTTGTAGATGATGTTGTCACATTTTTGGAAACATACAATATGGTCAGCAGGTCAGGCTGACCATGGAGTGTGTAGCCAATAGGATGTTGCCTTTTTAGACCACAATGGTGACATATGAGTAAGAATGACTATTGACCTCAAAATATATATATATATTTAGTTTTCTATTCTGTTTCCAGGATGTTAATATTGAATTCGTCATTTCTGGTTCGCTGCACGTTTACCAGCGTATAATTGACCGCGAGGAGGAGACACTGCTCTTCGTTACCCACCCAGGTGAGATGGTGGGTCACCTGGCAGTGCTGACAGGGGAGCCACTTATCTTCACTGTCCGTGCTCTCAGAGACTGTACCTTTCTCTCCATCTCCAAGGCTCACTTCTATGAGTACGACCGGCCTACTCTCAAAACATTACTGATATGTTGGTTTCACAGAAACAGAAACGTGAAAACATGTCTGCCATTTTCAACAGGATCATGCGGGAGGAGCCCAGAGTGGTGTTAAACGTGGCCCACACTGTGGTGAAAAGAGTGTCACCGTTTGTCCGTCAGATTGACTTTGCTCTGGACTGGATGGCAGTTGAGGCTGGACGTGCTGTCTACAGGTCAACACCCTGACTTTAATAAACTGTTATTTTTCAATCATACAGTATATTATGAGGAGGTGCATTTTTGAAATGGTATTATTGCTCGTATTGTATTTAGACAAGGAGACAAGTCCGACAGCACCTTCATTGTTCTCAGTGGTCGACTGCGTTCTGTCATTGCAAAGGATGATGGGAAGAAGGAGCTGGCTGGAGAGTACGGTCGCGGTGACTTGATCGGTGTGGTGAGTCACTAGAAAGGGTGTAGCATGAAATAAGAGGTTTATAAAAAGTCTTCTTTTGAAGTTGTTAAAACTCTTTCAACCATTTATTTTTTCCAAAAAAATAAAAGAAACACTGAATAACATTTGGGAACATTTTTTCTACAGTCAAACAGTTGCTTGATAAATGATGCTTTTATTTATCCAAATATCTTATTAGTTGCTTCTGTGTTTACTGTGGTGCTTAGCTTACCTGTGTTTAAATCGTTTTAATCTTTGTTGTGAAACAAAACAAAAGCACAAAGTATAGTGAATTAAGTGAAACATCTGAATGAACAATGCCTCATTGTTGTTGGAAATTTTTGACAATAACGTAGTTAGTATAACACCCTAACTATTACACTCTCCCATGCACATTGTTTTGTGTTTTGTCTGTTGTAGGTGGAGGCTGTGACACACATGAACCGAGCCACCACCGTCCACGCTGTCAGAGATTCTGAACTGGCCAAGTTACCTGAAGGAGCTCTGAACTCCATCAAGAGGAGGTATCCCCAGGTGGTCACCAGGCTCATCCACCTGCTGGGACAGAAGATCCTGGGCAACATGCAACAGATCAACACACCTCTGGCTGGTACACACAAATATTGTGTTTATCTTTGAAGTTGTCCTTCAGTGGGACTGATGTTGTCTACTTTATCTACACAATAATAAAGCAAACGTGTTCCCAGTTAATACAGCAATGTCTCAAATATCCAATAATACATTTGCACTTACCTGCAGCTCGCAGTCTAGCTCTAAACACTCCCTCTAGCAAGTGGGATTCTGGGAATCCAGCCTCCAACCTGTCCACCGTGGCCATCCTGCCTGTCTCTGAGGAGGTTCCTCTGACCTCCTTCACTCTGGAGCTGCACCATGCACTCTGTGGCATTGGTATTAACACACAGACATACATGAAACTTCAAACTTCATTCATCAAAGTTTTATTGTTTTCATTCAACAGTTTCTTTTTAATTTCTGCAGGTCCCACTCAGCTGCTGACCAGTGACATCATCAAGCAGCGTCTGGGCTCTGCTGCTCTGGACAGGTAAACATTTAGACATGTGTTTTGACAGTAAACAAAGACCCAAGTAATGACATGACATAAAATATATTACACTACATGTTAAAATAATCTATAAATACATATTATACTAATGGATTGCTAGTGATATTTCATTATTTATTTCATGGAAAAAAAATCACACAACTCATTTTGATTCATCAGTTGTCACTACTATCAAAAATGTCTGGACAACTTCCTGCTGTGATTTATGAAAATCCTACTGTGTTCCACTTGAGACTTGAGTGTATTTAACCTAGACATTATCTAATGGTATTAGCTGCTAATGTGTGTGTCATCTGTGTTGTCAGTTTGAAGAATATATTTCATATTATCATTTGTTTAGATATTTACATCAAATGTCATGTCTGTGTCTCCTGTGAAGTGTCCATGAGTACCGACTGTCCAGTTGGCTTGGACAGCAGGAGGACATCCACCGAATCGTTCTCTATCAGTCAGACTCTAGCCTCACGCCTTGGACGCAGCGCTGCATTCGCCAGGCCGACTGCATCATCATTGTGGGTCTGGGTGAGCAGGAGCCCACCGTTGGGGAGGTCTGTCAAAAAGCCAGATGATCAGATCACACTGATGAGCTCTGGTTTAGATTTCTTTACCTGAATATTTTCTGTACCTGTAGTTGGAGAAAATGCTGGAGGGAAGTGCAGTTCGTGCTCAGAAGCAGCTGGTGCTGCTGCACAGAGAGGATGGTCCTACACCCAAAGGCACTGCTGAGTGGCTCAACATGAGGAGCTGGATCTCAAGACACCACCACCTGTCCTGTCCACGCAGAGTTTTCTCCAGGCGAAGTTTACCGAAACTGGTATGAAGCTGAATTGCACAGGACTCTTTTTACTGAACAAATATATCTTGATCTGCAAATATAGTTATTCTCTGGGGCAGCCAGGCTGCTGATCCTGTTTAACCAGAGCAAAGTGCTTGTTTGATAAACATCTTGAGCCACTTACCACTATGATGGCTTCCAGGGCTAGGAGTATAAACTACATTTGCTTTTATTAAGAATATATCTTGCATCACCAATCTGAAAAATCACTTTACGATAAATGCATCCACCTATAATATTTTGGATAGTAAATCTAACAATCTGTTTGTCTGTCTTTGTCTGTTTGTTACTTTCAGAGAGAATTGTACCAGCGAGTGTTTGAAAAAAGTCCAGATCGTCACTCTGACTTCTCACGCTTGGCCAGGATCCTAACAGGAAACAGCATCGCCCTTGTACTTGGTGGAGGAGGAGCCAGGTTTAGAATTTTTTTAATTTTCTCCAAACACATTTAATTTACTATAGAGAGTAGATTCAGTCTTGTGGGGGAAAACAAATGTTGTGCAATTAAAGAAAATCCAGATGTCATTTATATATAAATCATGATTATTTTATTCTCTCTCTGCTCTGCTTTTCTTTGGAGCTGTGACAAGGTATGTACTGTTTTCCTATTAGCTTTTAGCAGATAAAACACGTCACAGTTCCATATGATGCTGTAGCATCTAGACAAATATCCAAAATATAGCTATGATGTCACAAATAATATATGTTGTTTGTTAAATATTATACATTGTCCCCATGTTTCATAGTGTAACAGTTAGCACACCTGCCTTGCCAGCAAAGAGCTGAGAGTCAGCGGTTAGATTCCCAGAGGAGCCACATAATATCTCAGTGGTGGCTTAGTGGTTAAGGAAGCGGACTTGTATCCGGAAGTCTTCAGGTTCGAGTCCATCCCAGTCCAGCTGCCCCACTCATTGCTCCTCTTAAAGCTGCCCACTGTTCACTTTGGTGATGGGTTAAAAGCAGAGGTCACATTTGGTTGTGAGCAGTGGTGAGCTGTGTCACTATGACAAGGAGTTCACTTTCCTGTTTTTTAATGTGCCTAATACTAAAAGAAAGAATAGTATTCAAATTTTTAACTGTGATTAATTACACGACTTCTTGCAATCTACCGCAAATAATCACACTGTTACATAAATCCAATAATCAATTCAACAGTAGTCTATATAGCACACTTTTATTTTAAATGTACCACCATGCGAGAAAAAGTGCTCTAACATTTGTTGTGCAAACACTTTTCACAGTGCTGCATCTAAGTGTTCACAGAAAGGCACATCACTTCATCTTTGTGCTTGTCAGAGATCCAGCTTGAAGGATCTTGTTTACATTATATTGGTTGCTAGGATGTGTGATTGGACAATGACTGCCTGGGGGCTGTGTTTTTCAAAAGTTCAATCCACTTTTTTTCTGGTTCATGTGAGCGCAGCTATAGTGAGCAACAGACCTAATAATCACATATAGAATATAAAATTACCCAACGTAAAAATAACCCATAAAAAAATCCAAAGTAAGTCAGAGTGTAAATTGAACTTTTATAACTTTGGTAAAATATTTGCATAAACAATGTAGTTTAGCGATAATAACTTCATATTTATAACATGTTTATAACATCACAGTGTTTGACTTTCTTCACTCTCCTTTAATATAATAATAATATAATTATATTATTATTATTAATTATATTATAATAATTATGATTATTATTCTGTGCGTCAGGTTGTTTATGAAGGTATGTCATACAGTCTATATATCTACAGTTAACTCCTAATGTAAAGACAGTGTGATAGTGTATCAATGAGGGTTTTGTTGCTTCTTAACAGGTCTGAACAGGTCCTGAATATTTACTGAACTGGTGAGACGTATAGACACGTTTAAATGAGGATGTAGAAAAACGAGTGACAGAATGTATTCATTTATTTTTTGTGGTCCTGGTTCCAGGGGCTGCTCTCAGGTTGGCATCATACGGGCTCTGAATGAGGCAGGAATCCCAATTGACCTGGTTGGAGGGACATCCATCGGCTCTTTTATAGGAGCTCTGTATGCAGAAGAGAAGAGCTACAGTCGCATGAGGGTCCGAGCTCGTGAATGGGCCATGGTACTGAGAGCCAGATCAGATAGAAGTGTCGTCTTCTCTGATAATTAAAGTCAGGAGTAGGCTAACATAACTAAAAGTAATTCAGTTGTTAAACATAGAAGTTCCTTGCTGGGCTTTCAAGTCCTTTTTTTGTGACAAAGTGACATTTAGTGACATTTAGAGATTTCAATTTTATTACTGACCACATTCTACCTTCACCCCGTCTTCAGGACATGACGTCATTCTTCAAGAAAATCCTGGATCTGACCTACCCAGTGACCTCCATGTTCTCTGGGGCTTCCTTCAACTCTAGCATCAGTTCTGTCTTCAAAGACAAACAGATAGAGGTGTGAAATGAAAAAGAAATTATTCTTTATTTTTTATTAATTTATTTTTTAAAACACGGCATCACAATTGCCAAAAACAATTTATATCACTGTGCAGCTGTTTTCCATTATAAAAAGCATATATATAATATGTACTTTGTGAAATGAATAGTACAAATAAATCGAGTCAGTTGCAGCTAATCATTAGCAACAGTATATTAAATCTGTTTTTCTGAGCTATTTTTTCATATTTTTTTATTCATTTAAATATAAATGTCTCTTAAAAAGACACTATTTTTTGTATAACTTTTAATAAATTTCTGATTCTGCATTATATAAGTCTTTCCAAACCAATAACCCACTGAGTTAATAACTGTTTGCTTTATTTCTTGTCTTAGGATTTGTGGCTTCCGTACTTTAACATCACGACAGACATCACTGCCTCCTCCATGAGAGTCCACACTGATGGTCTGTCTCACCAACCATGTATTATTTTATACATTACATAATTTTAATAAGATTAATAATAGATAATAATATATTCTGAAACAAGTTTCTAAGACAAAAAGACCTCATCTTCTGTTAGTGTACTCTGATTTACATTTGTCACTCTTTAATCCACACACCTGGTTTCTGTGCTTCAGGTTCTTTATGGAGGTACGTCAGAGCCAGTATGTCTCTGTCGGGATATTTACCTCCACTCTGTGACCCTAAAGACGGACATCTGCTCATGGATGGTGGATACATCAATAATCTGCCTGGTGAGAAATCAAGAAAGCAGTCAGCGTTCTGGTGCTAATTAACATGTTAAAGAAAACATTATCTGAGATAAACTCTATACAGGGGTTCATTGACTTACATCAGAATTACGTTCCTAAGGTGCGACAGAACTCCATTTTTTTTGTAAGTAGGAACTCACATACTGTACATCAGTGCCTATGTCACTCACCTACGCTACCACAGTGGTGACATCATGGTCTAGGACATAAAAACAACAGAAGAGTCTGTCCTACACTTGGGAGCCATAATGAAGGGCAAATATTTCCCAAGAAATTACACACAAACAAATGAAAGAAAACAAGTGTCGCACAAGGTATTGCATAAAACAGGTGAATATAAACAAAGTCGTCTTCTGCATTTAGTGCCACATGATGATGTATTTGTCTGCTGCGCTCTTTATTTTAGCAATGTACGTTGGAATAATGGAACCAGACTTGATGCCGAAAATTCGAAATTCTATAGATTGAGTGTCGTAAACCGAGGACCCCCTGTACATCCTTTCTACTGGATCTTAAAGCTTTTTAGTTATTTTTTCTCTTTATTTACTGTTTACAAATTAAATACCTAGTAATACAAGGTTTGTGAAAAATATGACCAGTATGTTTTTTATATATACACAGGCCATCTTTTAGCAGGTAGATTAGTAAAATATAAAAATATTTAAAAATAATCATCATAATCATCATTTTATTAAAATAAAACTTCTCATTAAAAGCATCAAGGACTATGTATGGTTTAGAAGTAAAGTAAAATTTCTGTTTCCAATGGTTCCCACTAGCTGATGTTGCTCGCTCCATGGGAGCCAAAGTCGTGATTGCAATCGATGTTGGAAGCAGAGATGAAACCAGTCTTACCAACTACGGCGATTCTCTGAACGGATGGTGGCTGTTGTGGAAAAGATTGAATCCAATGGCTGAAAAAGTGAAGGTACAATCATCAACAACAATATGNTGTGTGTGTATTTATGGTAAAAGCAATTATCGGTGATTATTAGATAAAATTAATTTCAGCCTGTTCTACATCTACTATTTCTTTGCCAGGTTCTCAACATGGCAGAGATCCAGACCCGTTTAGCTTATGTGTGCTGCGTCCGACAGCTGGAACAAGTCAAAGGCTGCGACTATTGTGAATACATTCGACCCCCGATCGACCGTTATGGCACCTTGGAGTTTGGAAAGTTTGACGAGATCACTGTGAGTTTTCTTCTTCCTGTCACCTGCTGCGGTCTGATGTCAACGGCTGTATTCTAAACCCTCTGTCCCTGCTGAATGTGATCACAGGAAGTAGGTTACCAGCACGGGAAGACACTGTTTGATGTGTGGCAGCGCAGCCGGGTGGTTGACAGTATGATGAAGGACAGACACCAGGAAGAGTTCCATAAGACCAGACATGGACATGTGAGGGACTTTGTGAATTTGTGTCTGTTAACGTGACATTAGAAACTAACACTATTGGGTGGGGTCTGTCTTTCAGGTGGTCACCTGTCCTAATGCCTCCTTCACTGACCTGGCAGAGATTGTGGCCAGAATAGAACCTGTGAAGAACGCTCTCTTTGGCGGTGAGTTTTAAGTACTACTATCTATCCTTAGTACAATATCTAGTAAAATCCATAGATACTTTGTAATGTCTAACACGTTTTTTAGATGCTACAAGTTTAAAAAAATATTTTTTTGGCCTTAAGATAACATCACAGGAGTGACTATTTAAATGTATACACTGGAATATGGCTTAAATTACACTGTGACTTTATTTGGATCTGAGGCTTTCATTTCTATTTTGTTTGTTGTTCAGAAGAACTCTCTGATGAGTACCAGACAGACTATGATGAGGAGACAGTAGAGAGCGCTCTCTCTGACTTTGAGGCCTTCATGCCTGGAAGTGAGCAAGCCGAGGGAGAGGAGACGGCCGACACGGCTGAGACTGTACGTGAAAAAAACACACATATTTGTCTGTAAATCCATTTATGGTTCATCACCAAATCATAGGATAATGTTCAAGGAAATGTCATTTTTATTTTGTTTTCATTTGATTGAAAAACCTGAAACACATATTGGCTGTAATGTGGAGGTCTGAACTACCACCATGTTATTCCTCAGAATCATTAAAGTGCTTTCCAATCTGTTTTACAGGATGAAGAAAAATCAGAGGGTGATTCTAGAAGAAAGGACAGACATTCACATTAAACCAAAAGTCCCGGTTTAACTTTTTAAAAAGTAGCAGAACCGTCCTGTCAAGGTCCTGGCGAGATAAGGTCCTAATTGAAAAGCATTTATAAGGCAGTACAACAAATGTCCAGACTGTTTACATTTCACAAACTGCAAAATAATAGGTGAAATAAAAGATATCAGCCACTTTTGTTATCAGCATCTGTGTACAGAGAGGGCTGAGCAGAGGAGCTATTTGTTACTTCTATTTTATAGTCACAACCATACAGTGTTTAATTTGTAAACTGTGAAATTCTGGAATACAGAAAAACAATTGTTCCAGCGACTGTTTTCTTTTCTTTTCATTGTGACACGGAGGTATCAGATCCTGTTGTGCCAGATTCCTGCTCAAATTAAATCCTGCACTAATGATACTGGCACATTCTAGATAGAACTGAGGGACATTAGTACTAGAAACCAATTGTGATACCATAAAACCTATTGTGCCTAATATTCTCATGACAAATTTGTCTGGATAACCCGAAGGAAGCACGCAGAATGGATCCCAGTTGTGGAAGTCGAGCCAGGACAGGAGGGAGGAAAAAAGGGTGCACTCTGGGTCCTCGGTTGAAGGTGTGGCTCCCACTCAAACCTTTGATGAAACCACCATTAAAAACCTAAAAACCTTAGGAAAGGGTGGTGCTCTATATAACCTTAGTGCGAATGACAGTGAAGACCAGAAGTATTGTGAACTTGGTGCCAAGAATGGTTGTAGGAGGATTCTGGAGTAGGGTTTCTGGAATCAAACACTTTGTCCTGTGTAATGCTGCATGTTGATGATGATGGTGATGATGATAGTGATAATGAACTACCTCCTGTAAAACAATATAATATGGTTTTCTTTATTTTTCTTCCATGAGATCTGTCATGACAAAAACATGAGAAAACAAAACACTCATTCTGTGCAACCTTTTTTTTTTACATTTTAATGAATGCAGTATTTGTTGTTAATGAGAATTATGGAACTTTTTAATCATCATCTGCACACTGCAGGTGTGAGCTAAATTGAACCATCACTAATAAACCAGACTGTATGTGTTTGTATTCATGGCTTAACAATCTTTTAAATATTCCTCCTATAATGTCAACCAAGTCTTTGGTTATTTTTTTTGGAATAATTTCCAAAAAGAGTTGCAGGACAAAGACTGATAATGGCATTTGTTGAACTGGGACAGTTTACCACAGGGTTCTGTGTTTGATTTACACTTTTTTGATTTTTAACTTTTACCAACTGTGTGGGGCATGTATTTAAACAGAATTTATTTTTCTAAAAGGGGAATTTCCCATTTAAGGAGGGAGGGAGGGAGGGGGCATAAAATTGCGTAACAGCACAATCTAGTGGAGACCGAGGTTAATGTGGCCAACTATACTATAATGTTAACTATACGTTAATCAGGATGAATGCCTTTGTCATTTACTGTGATCATGGATCCACTGGCAGAACCTACTGCAGTATTTAGTTGGTCTGACCGTAGAGAAGGCTCTGCCTGGGAATCGGACGCTTTTCCACAGATTTTCTATTTTTTTCTTCCAGTTATAGACAGTAAAAATGTCTATAATCCCCACAAAGTACCGCTTGTCTGGCCCATCGATGACATGAATGGAGTTTTTGCAGTTTGGTAGGAGCCTGTGATGATGTTCCTTGAAGTCCTGCAGCACAGAATCACTCCTGGTTTCCATTGGCGTTAGCTCTATTTCCTGGAGTGGGATTTCTTCACCTCCTTCTCCTGCCCATGCTCCTGTAGATCCTGATCCACCTTCTGGACAATTTGGGACCACTTGACTCTTGCCTAGTAATGGAACAGTGGGAGGATGAGACTCTGTAGGACTGGCATCCAACTCCAGAGACCTGTAAGAAAACCCGTCAATTGTTTTAATCAGCACATATATAATAAGATGTAAACACAAATACTCAGTTGTTGGTTCAGTAACCAGTGATAGACTCAATCTTTCACAGACTCTTGGCTGAAGAAGATATGGTTCAGTTAGGAGCAGATGTGGGCAAACTATGGTCTGAGGGCCAGATACTGCCCACTGGGCTTTCTAATCCTATTTGCAGAATAAGTGCTTCAAAGTATGGTAAAGACTGGTGTCTATTTTTCTGTTTCATGTATAACACCAAATACACTGAAATTTATGTTGATACCACTAGATGGCGGCGGACATAAAATGTGCCAAATTACTTGAAAGTTTAACTAAGTTTTGAACCTCACTTTGGTCCGTGACCCAAAAAGTTTGCCCACTCCAGGTATAGAGGATAAAGGAGTGTGTTTGTTGATGTGTCGTCAGAGGGAAAACAGAAGATTAAGGCTTGGTCAAAAGACAAAACCGATGTGTATGAATTGACATACAGTTTCTCAGGATTTACCTTAGCAAATGTAATTAAGGTAATTTCAAAGTAAAAGACTAAATGACAAGTAAAGGATACTTTTGTTAAAAATTCAAAATAAAACAAAAATAAAACTTACTTTGTTGCACGAATAACAATATCTGCCAGGGAGTGTTTTCCCTCAAGTTCATCCTGGTGCAGAGGCTGACAAGCCAACAGGAGGCTGTAGTCCAGAACATTCAGCTCCCGAAGAAATGTTGCGTCCTGTTTGACTTGTTCAACAAACCAGGGTTTCTCCTGACCTGTGGGAAACACACAGATGTATCATACCTTGTACAAATATTTGATACTCCAATACAAGACATCAATGTTGATAACTGTTGGTGTGAGAACACCTAAAATACCTAAAATGATGTGCTGCCCTTCAAAGTTGTTGTCTTTCAGCACTTTGATAATCTGTTTCCCTTTAGTGTCAGGATTTGTCCACCTTCCAACCTCACAGCCTTTCACGTCATATCTGTTGCATGAATGACAAAATGGACAAACAAAAAAAGTCAAATACCCTCATCACACACTAAAGCCATAAGAACCACGGAAAAGACAAACAGCTTGAGGTAATTGCTGGGTAATACCTTTTGAACTAACATGTACTGCAGTAGGTACTCTATGTGATGACAGAAAACAGAAGAAGAAGAAAAAAAGATACTAAACCTGATGTTGATCCTCTCATCAGGATAGAAGATGCTCTGCATCACTATAAAGTATTTCTGTGGAAAAAATATATTTTAATAATGATATTCAAGAGTAAAAAAAAAAAAACAAAACAAAAAAAACAGGTGCTGGTTTTAATGTAGGTGAAGACAATACCTCTAACTGATTTGGAATAACAATCTTATGGACACCTGGGAAAAGGTACAGAATGAGATGTATTATTATTATTGAAATAATAATAATAATAATAATAATAATATATTATATACATTACAATCAAATATAATAACATATCTATATAATATACAGTATACATACAAAAAATGTTGGTATTGTTTATATCAATAACATTGTTGTGGGAAATGTTTAATCTAATCTCTGTCTTAGTCTATATATCTTTTGAAGAAATTTCAAAGACAGATTAAATTCAAATATGAGGAGCATACGTTCAAATATGATTCTGTAAATTAGAGTACATCAGTAGCAGTAGAAGCTCTTACCAAAAAACCTGACCATCAGTGAGTGAGGGTATTTCTCCAGGTGTTTGGTGTAGGCCTGCAGATTGGACAGAAGAAACCTAATTTCGCGTCTGCTCTGGGTCTTCAGGAAGAACCTCTTGTCATTCCTTAAATCAAACACAAGTTGATCAAACTATATATTTTTCTCGAAACCTTGTGTAAAATAATTTCCCGTGTGTTTATGTATCATCATGGCCATTATTTCTCGTAGTCATTCACTTCGAGTTCCGTTTTGTTTGCCTTGATCAGTCACAAAACTGTAATTTCTTTGTCGACATCTGCTGGTTATGGTATGGTATATTAGAATTAAAAATAGTATTAATCAGTAATCTGTTTAACAGAATTTTAGAGACTGACAAGATGCCTGATGAGTGGAGGAAAAGTGTTCTGGTGCCAATTCATAAGAAGGGTGATGTACAGAGTTGTAACAACTACAGAGGGATAAAGTTGATGAGTCACACAATGAAGATTTGGGAAAGAGTAGTTGAAGCTAAGTTGAGGCAGGAAGTGGAGATTTGTGAACAACAAATGGGTTCATGCCTAGAAAGAGTACCACAGATGCAGTATTTGCCTTGAGGATGCTGATGGAGAAGTACAGAGAAGGTCAGAAGGAGCTACATTGTGTATTTGTAGATCTAGAAAAGGCATATGACAAAGTGTCAAGGGAGGAATTGTGGTTTTGTATGAGGAAGTCAGGAGTGGCAGAGAAGTATGTTAATTTGGTGCAGGACATGTATGAGAATAGTACAACAGTAGTGAGGTGTGCTGTTGG